CAATTGAATAATAAGATTTTATACTTACACTTGTTTGACATATCATTAGTGGATCCTCTAACCTTGATATTTATTGTTATTGTTGTCTAATCCTTATATTGATCATCCATCTCAAAGTTCTCATCGACTTCTTTTTCTTTTTCTTTATTACTATTACTACTACTACTACTACTACTACTATTATTGTTGTTGTTTATAATTGTTGTTTATAATTTATACAATTAACCTTCCTGTAGTTCGACCTCGATCTTGCCGGGGTATTTATTACTTCGACAATCTTTATTATTTTAATTACTATTTTTTGGGATCATTTTTAAAATTGTTTTCTCTAGGATCATTTGTTAATTTTTTTTTTTAAATTTTTTTCTCATTTTTCTTGCTTTTTTTTTGTTTTTTGAATATTTTTTTGTTAATAATTTTTCATGACTTCATCCTTGAAAACTTAATTTGTTGAGTTTCTTTATTTAACTTAGGTCTATTATTTAACAAGTTACAAGTTTTAGAAATTAGACCATGTTTAGAAAGTTCATCCAGGTTTGGTTGGTTTTTTGTTTTTCCTTTTTTTAAGATGATTTTTCTTTCTTTTTTTTTTAGGTTTTGTTTTGTTATTTTTGTGGTTTTCCTTTTATTAGGTTAGTTAACCATCTATTTTTTTTTTCAATTTCACCTCTATTATTTAATCTATAAAAACAATCTATGAGATTATAAATGTTTTTTAATTTCACCCCTATGAGCTTTTACTATTTTAAATTTAATTTTTATTTTTTTACTTTTTGCATTTTTTCTATTAATATTTTTTCAACAATTCATTCTTCATAATTAAACTGGTTAAGAATTAAACTTCTTAATTGAATCCAAATCTAATATTTTACTAGTTGTAAGTTTTAGATATTATACTAGGTCTAAAAGGTTTGTCTAAATTTACTTGGTTTTTTTCATTTTTAAGCTATATTATTTTATTTTTTTTATTTTTTTAAAGAGTCAATTTACAACTACTAGTATTATTCAAATAAAATAACTAATTTAATTATGTTAATAATTTATAATCCGATTGAAACCTCCGTTATGTGTAGTTTGTAGTTGAGTAATAAAAAAAAGTTTATACTATACTTGTTTGAAATACCATTAATAGATCCTCCAACCTTAACAATTATTTTATCCTTGTTTAATTCTTATATTAATCTTACATCTCAAAGTCTTCTTAAACTCCTCCTCATCGTCATATTATTATTATTTTATTATTATTATTATTATATAGTTAACCTCCCTATGGTTCGACCCTAGTCTTGTCAGATTATTTATTGGTTCAACACTCCTATGCTTGGGAGTTGACATCAATCTTTCTGTCGTGTCATCCATTTAATTGTTTTTTCCTTCACATTTGACCCCTACCCTTTTGATTACCATTTTTTTTAATTTTACAATAAGCTATGAAATTATGAATGCATTTCGATTTCACCCCTACTATTTTTTAATTTATAAATAATCTATCAAATTAAAAATATTTTTTAATTTCATCCCTATCTTTTTTTAAATATATAAATAACATATCAAATTACAATTTTATTTTTTAATTTCACCCCTATGATTTGTTTTAATTTTTCAAATTTAATCTTTATTATTTTAATTGCTATATTTTTGGGATCATTTTTAAAATTGTTTTCTCTAGGATCATTTGTTAATTGTTTTTTCAAATTTTATCCTCATTGTTCTTGCTATTTTTTTTTTGTTTTTTGCATATTTTTTTGTTAATATTTTTTCACGTTGTTCTTGCTATTTTTTTTTTGTTTATTGCATATTTTTTTGTTAATATTTTTTCACGACTTCATCCTTGAAAACTAAATTTGTTGAGCTTCTTTATTTAACTTGGGTCTATTATTTAATGAGTTATAAGTTTTAGAGATTAGATCAGGTTTAGAAAGTTCGTCCAGGTTTGGTTGGTTTTTTTTTCCTTTTTTTAAGATGATTTTTCTTTATCTTTTTTTTTTTAGGTTTTGTTTTGTTATTTTTGTGGTTTTCCTTTTATTAGGTTAGCCTCCTACAATTTATTTTTCAATTTTACCTCTTGTCAGTTTTTAATTTATAAATAATCTATCAAATTATAAATATTTTTCAATTTCATCCTCTATAATTTTTTAATTTTTTGAATTTTGTCCTCATTCTTTTTTTTGTTTTTTTCTTTTTGTATTTTTTCTATTAACATTTTTTCAACAATTTCATTCTTCAGAATTAAATTGGTTAAGAATTAAACTTCTTAATTGAACCCGAATCTAAGATTTTACTAGTTGCAAGTTTTAGATATTATACTAGGTTTAGAAGGTTTGTCTAAATTTACTTGATTTTTTTGATTTTTAAGCTATATTTTTTTATTTTTTTTATTTTTTATTTAAATGTTTTTGTTATTGTTTTACGGTTTGCCTTCTATTAGCTTTGGATCAATAATAAGAAATATCAATTTTCAAAATTAATACAGATTAATAATTTTTTTTTAAAAATTAATTTATTTCAATTTCATCTCAATAACCATGAACTTTTTTCTCTCTATTTTTTTTTATGAGATCATCTAACTCTTATATTTATTGTCATATGATGGTTTTTTAATTCACTTGTTAGATGATTTGGATAAACTCAAATCTGGTTTTTTTGTTATTTTTTCATTTTTTATTTTTTAGGTATTTTTGTTATAATTTTATTTTTTTATCATTTAAATTACCGATTGAATAAGTAGCACAAAACTTGAATTTGTTTACGTTAGAATTTTTTCGAACATTGATATTTTTTATTTTTATTTTTGCCTACTCCACGGTCGAACACGAGCAATAATTCTAGTAAATTATTAAAATAGAACAGCAACTGTTATCAATTTTGAGGACGCGTAGTCTTTAATTGCCAATCGAACTAACTTAAAATCAAATGAGGAGTTGGTGTTGATATATCTTAGAACAATACGAAAGAAGACTTTTAATATTTTCTAGGATTTGTTAGTTTTATATAAATAGAAAATTATTTTATTAAGAAATTTGAAATAATTATTGGATTCTTATTTTTTTTCTATTTTGAATTTTTATGTAGTATTATTAGTTCCTATTTTTTTTATATTTTTCTATTCAACGTTTACTAGTTTTTCAATATAAATAACTGTACTAGCTTTTTGGTAAGAAGACTTTTAATAAATAAAATTGGATTTTTCCTTGATATATGGCTGTCTTTTTTTTTTCCTCTTGTTTTTAGGGTTTCTATAAATTAATAAACCTTGTCATCTCGCTACATATTGAGTTAGTTAATATATATGAGAGGAGGTTGACCTTTTTGATCCATCAAAACAATAGCAGTGTTTCACCCAACGATGTAAGAGTAGAGACTGGAGGCCGTTCAAGGCTACACAAAACCCTACCGTAAATATTTGATCAGCGAGATCATAATTCTGTATCAAACTTAATTTAGCGGGTGGATCATCTACAAGGAGAAGGTGCAGAGAAGAATCATGACGAGGAGAAAAAAATGCTGAGAGACTTATCTTAGAATGAACCTGATCCTAAATATATTCATGCAAGCGCATATAAGCATTATATTTAGTTTTGAAGTGGGACACATATGATAGGTGATGTATTCAAAACTAGGTTCACATTCATCTTTTCATAGACGGGTTATTTTGATATTTTTTACGGTGTTTTTCAAAGAAGAGATTTTAAAGAAGATGATCATTTTTTTTTTTTACCATGGATCTCTCTATGACATGAATTTTTAGTTTTTTGACACCTTAATTTAGAATTAAGATTGTTGACTTTTGTTTGAAGATAAGATTTATTACTTGTGCATTCATGTTTGAAAACTACATGTAGAAACAAAATATATAGCTTTAATTTACAAAAAAATAGAGTAAATAATCTTGAAGGTTTAGCCTAGTAATAAATATATTTATTTCTTAAATTATGATCCAATATTTAAATACTATTAAAAGAGTTTCTAAAAAATAATTTCTGATAAATTTTATCAGTCTATATGCAAACGATTTACTTCAAACTCAACATTAAAAAACTTATTATAGATATCTTAACTTTATATGTATATATGCCATTCATGAAATAAAAAAAAAAAGAAGAAGAAGAAGAAAGTATTTGATTAGTAATTAAAAGTGTATTTTTATTAAGATTTTATATTATCATTTTGCACTTTAAGTATCAATAACTCCTTAACTAGATATTAATGTTTTCATAAACCTTAATTTTTTAAATATTATTTTCTTCTAATAAAAGCTACATCATCTATATTTTCATACATTGAGCATATAAAAAGAAGGTTTATTAATATCTTGTTTTAACAGTATGAATCAGATATATAAATTTAATGAGAGTTTGTTTATTTGGATAGATTAATGGAAATTGAATGATGAATGCCTCATTTTATGGAACTTGCAAATTTTTTTTTTTATTTTAACGCTTTGATTACTAGAAACTACTAATAAGCTGATTGGGGGGGTATGCTTAGTACTTAAAAGTGTATTTTTATCAAGGTTTTATTTCATCATTTTGCATTTAAAGTATCAATAACTCCTTAACTATAACATGCTTTATAATAACATGTTTAATAATATAAGATACTTTTAATTTATGGTAATTATTCATCTTAAATATAGTCTTATTATATAAATCAAATGATTGATTGATGAGTCTAATTACTGAAATTAAGAAGACAAAGAGAGGGCTAAATTTAAAAAAGAGATGTTGGTTCAGTCTAAACTGGAATACTATTCGATCATTGAATCATAACTAGAGCTTTAGAACTTGGATTTAGGTCTGGTTTTTATGTATGGAAAGTTAAGATAGAGGCCTAAAACTTTCATGAAAAGTCCAAGATTCAAAAGGACTATTTTCAGGTTCAAATTGTAGCAATAACAAAGAATTCAGAATTTATCCTGCAGCTTAGACATTGTTTAGTGTTCAGCCCATTTCACGAGTTTTAGAAGTCTAAATGACCTAATTCTTGATTTGTTAGAAAGCTAAGACAATTTCCCAAACTTTCATGAAGATTATCTGTTCAAATTCTGATGTTAGCAATGATGTTTTCTACAGACAAAAAAATAAAGGTCGTTACCAAGTAAAGAGGTAGTCATCCATTTAACAATTAGTCATCAAATCAATAATTTTGAACTTTGGCATGTAAAAGGAGATATTTTCCATGTATTTAGGCATGTAAAAGGAGACATTTTCCATGTATTTAGGCCTAATTCTTAAAATCATGTTCTTACTCTTTTTCTTTATATTTTTATAATACTTAAGTTTTGCTTTCATTAATCTCTTGTTTATGTCTTTTATTTCCTTTACTATATTTATATAATCATGTTCTCCTTTTGTTTATTTGTGTTTATTTTCTTCATTATGTTTAGCTAAATTTATTATATTAAGGGGAAAAGGTTTTACTAATGGTATATGATAAGTATAATATAAACTCAATATGGACTTCAATAATTATATCCTAAACAACTTGCTTAACATGTCTTATCATTTATATCTTATTAATTCTTAATACCTTGCTTATTAAATGGCTAATCTAGATTTGTTTTGTATAACACTTGGTACAATAAATGTTAATCCTTCATGTCACATCCGAACATCGCAGCGACCAATTAAAAATTTTAATCTTGTCGAAAAATAACAGATATATGACACTTTGTTTTTTAGGGGAAAATATCTTATTTAAGGAGTCGCCACCTAATATTATGGTGACTAGTAACCCTAAACTAGTAAATAAATATTCTATGGTATGAGATCGGTTATACAAAATGAAAGATACTATCACCCCTTTAAATATCCTACCTAAAGCAGACTGCATTATTGGTTTTTGTCTAAAATTACTAAGAATTTGTTCTCTCTCTTCTTCTTTTTTCCTTTTTTTCCTTTCTTTCATGTTCTTAACTATGGCGTTAGTTAATAATTCCTATGAATATTTTCAATTCTGGCATTGGTAAATATTGCACAAATCTAAAAAAGAAAAATGCAATACTCCTAACTCTAGTGTCAGTGAATATTTTTGCAAAAAAACAATTTAAAAGAAGAAATTTTTCATGTCATTTTTCTTGTTTATCCTTTATTTTTATTGACCCTTTTTAGATGGGGAAAAAAACTTGCATGACATATTTGCACTCAACAATAAAGATCCATAAATTGAGCACATAACTAAAAACAAATACAAGCATAAAGAAAAAGGATAAAATGTGAAAGGCTCACAAATAAATTAACGAAGACCCCTAAATATGTTTGAAATTTTCTGATAATGAAGAGGGGCTTATTTAACCAAACATTAAAGTAGTACGGACATAAAAATTATGGCTAAGTTATAAGGGTGTGTTTTGCCACACACACACTTAGTAACACACTTTGGGCCGGCTGGGCCTAAAACCCAGACCTAGCCCACTCCTTTTGTTTGTTGAGTTTAGCCCAACCTATATTGGTTAGGTTGGACTTAGGCGGCTCAGCTTGGTCATTAGCCCAAGCTAGTAGCCCAAGTAGGTAGCAGGCACATGTGGTTTAAACCATGCTTGCGCTATACAGTACGAAAATAATTAAATTACCTTTTTCCTGTTCTCTTCTTTTGCTAAGAAGTAGAAACAAAAATAAGAGGAAGGCCTTGCCTGGGAATGACAAAGGCAAAGATGAAAGTGATGGTCTTATTTAGAGAATGTTCTTCTTTCCTTTTCTCCTCTCCATCCTTTCCCCCTCTACTCTTGTGTTTTTTTTTTTGGCTTTAGGTTCTCCTTTTTTATGGTTTTTTTTATGGTTTTTTGTTCCCTTATTTTTTGCTGCCCTTCTCTCGTTCCCAGAGCTTTATATTTATAGGGGACATGCCTGGTCTTCTCTTCGCATATGGCTAGCATTTGGATAAGCGCAACTAGGAGGGACGTGTTGATGTTTCATTGGGATTCAAATACCTGAGCTCATTCCTTATCTCCCAAGGGCAATGATCTTCATGAGTATAGGGATTTGTCTTTGTGTTTTAACAGGATTGGGATGCTGGCATTTCATATTTTTACTCTTCTTTGTAAGTGGGTTTGCAATGCTAGAAGAAGAAACTATACGTGGCTAAAACGGTGTCATTTGTTTTTACCAAAACAGACCATTTCTCAATTTGGTCCTTATAGTTTCTAAATTTTACAAATAAACCCCTAATCTTTTCAATTTCAAATTTTAAACCCTTTAAAATTATATTAAATGACAAATGAATTAAAATTTAGGTTATAACACTTCATAGCCAACTATATGGTATAACCGATACCTGTGTTATGAAAGGAACTTGATTTGTTGTTAACATAAATTAGCATTATGAATTTTTGATAATATTTAAAAGTTTAATGTTACTTAAATAAGATAATTAATATAATCATATTAATAATTTATAATGAACTATTAATGACAAATCATCCTATTAAAACCTTTTTTGTGTGTAGTTTCCAGTTGAGTAATAAAAAAAGTTTATATTATACTTATTTGAAATACTATTAATGGATCCTCTAACTTAAATAACTGTTTTTATCATTGCTCAATTTTCACATTAATCTTACATTTGAAAGTTCTCTCTCACTCACCATCACCATTATTATTATTATTATTATTATTATTATTATTATTATTATTAATTTATATAGTTAATCTTTCTATAGTTTGATCTTAATTTTGTCAGAATATTTATTATTTCAATATTTTTATACTTGAGAGAAAACGTTAATCTTTTAATCATATCACTATTGAAATAGCAAAGCCACTCTTTAATCTATTATTGAAATAGCAAAGCCACTCTTTAATCTTTAAGTGATAAAAGGATACCAGCCTTTCACATATTCTGCTATATGCTAAATTATTGAAGTATTGAAAGACATGGTTTTAGAAAAAATAAAATAAAAAAGAAGATAAAGGGTGGTTAGAAAAGACAAATTATAATAATTTAGAGAATAAAAGAAGGAGAAAAGGGTAGAAAATGACAACTTGTTTAAGAATAATGGAATCCCTAAAAAAAAATCAATAAAAGGTAAAGTGAAAAAAAAAGGGGGGGATGCGAGTTCAATAATTAGATTTAGCTACAAGTGGCCTATCTCTTTTGAACACCATCATACTTTCGAGGGTTCCGTTTGCTGTTTGTTAAACTATTTAATATAGACATGTATTACGCTTTTATTGGTAATTTACGCCATACCTTTTGAAATAGCAATGGGATTCGGATTCCCACATAAAAGCAAATAAGAGCATTACATTGACAATAGTCTTCGAGTAATAATACTATGAAGATACTTATTAAATTTATTCTTTTTTATAAGAGGTCGATCCATTAATGTGATCCACATTTACTGCTTATTAAATTTATATTATTTCTTCACAAAATTTTATTTATTATTTATATGCAATTTTAATATAATTGTTTTTGTTAATAATACATCTTCCAATGTATTTAATAAAATATAAGATTTTATGGTAATTTATTTTAAATAAAGAAGATCACCTTTATGGTAATTCAAACTGCGGTAGCTTGTATCAACTTTTAGAGTATCGATTTCATTTTACATATGAACATAATCTGTTGATAAGATGACAAACCGAAAATAAAACTGAGAAAGGACAATGTCAAACTGCTTCTTTGACCTTTTTT